GGCTGAGATGGAAAACCTCAGTGAGGGCGTGCGAAAGAGAAGATGGAAATTCATCGGTCACATCATGAGGTAAGAACCAAATAATGACTGCAGCACTGCATTAACCTGGACCCCAGAAGGGCGGCGAAAACGGGGTAGACCAAAGACAACATGGAGGAAGACAGCAGAGAGAGAAAGGGAAAAAGCTGGATGGAAGCACTGGAGTGAGGTACAAATCGCAGCGGATGACAGAGCTGGTTGGCGGGATTGTGTTGAGGCCTTATGTGCCACATGGCACGAAGAAGATAGGTAAGGTAACAGGTTCGAAGGCTTTAAAGTCTCATGAGATCTCCCACTCTGGTAGTCGTGTGACAGAATTGGCAAATTAAACGAGACTTACCTGTAAGTTGAAGTTTGATTGAGATTCTATCACATGACGGACAGAGCGAGGAGATCACATGCCCACCCTCTCTACTCTCCCTCCCTCTTAGAGTTACACGCAAATATTTGCTAATGAAAACATACTTGCTGTTCCTTTGTGGAATGAGTTGGGGTTTCTTCCCCTCTCACATTCACACCTTTGAAGAATGATCTCGCGCATGCACTGTGCTATCTCGCGTGATCTCCACGCCCTGTCTGTCAAGTGACAGAATCTCAATCAAACTTCAACTTACAGGTACGTCTCGTTTAATTTCCCAATTTAATTCCTAAGAATACTTAAAAGAGAACATTCATCTTTACTCGACTTGAAAAAACTGCGTGGAAATACTGCCCGAATTTCTCATCTAGACAAAGGCTCATGGTAAATAAGCCCGGTTGTTGTCAATTACAAACACTTTTAAGGCGTAATGATTGTGACGAAACCGAGAGTCTTCGAGATTTGGGTTTTTAACTTGATGCAGAGTAGTTGTTACTCCTTTACTCGCGGCTATGTTTTCTCTGTTATATATTTCTGTTCGATGATGCATTAGCGCTCATTTCATGTCGTTTGCCTTCTTGCATAGCTACATAACGATTTGTACAGTCTTCGTTAATAACAGTAGCAACATAATCAAGGAATGCAAATCGAATCCTTTAGAAGCTGTATAAACTTTAAACTTACCGGACAAAAACACTGAAAGATCACTTTTCTGCTGTTGAGGAATGTCTAGCACACGCAAATCTTTCGGTAGTAGAGGACCTGTAAAGAGAAGTATTTTAACTATAATGAAACCACAACTAAACAGATGATTGAAGAAAATTAAGGCCGCTTCCTACACAAGCTCCGTATCAAGAAATGGTCTATTGTTCCGGCTCAACATCACACGTTCAGCAAAAATGAATAGCCTTTTGTTCTTGGTAACCCTGAGGGAATTCGTCCGAAGCCAAACCAAAATCGTCGCCGTTGTTCGGAAAACTTTCGGCGGAACAATTAAGCTGCACT